TACCCCCAGTTGAGCAAGCCACTATTATTTTTGCATCTTTATCTAATTTTGATTCCACACCTGACCATATAGACCAAATATTCAGTAATTCTTGACACCTATTAGTTTAAAATGAATGTTACAATATACAAGGATGATAAGATAGCACTGTCCTACTTTGCAGGAACTCAGGGTTCTCTTCTGTTCCAGCAAAGATGCCAAAAAACGCAAATGCAGCACGTCTAGCAATGTCCCAGGCTGTCCACTCCTTTATGAGCCTATATATTTGAACATTAATAGCATCTGGTGGATGAGCCTACACCGGAAAGCAATAACAAAACTTAAGCATCTTTGCTCCTTTTAACGTAGTAACTGGTGGAATTTTAGAAATGTTGAATTGAATAACACATTTTGTTTTGAATGACTATCTTCAGGTTCTCATATGCTTATCTAGTTAAGGTGAACAGACCAACCTCTTTAAACTCGGATTCAGGCCGTACGTCAAGAATCACAAAGTTATTTTCTTTCTGCAGGCGAAGAGCTTCCTTAGCATCAACACTTCTTACCTGCAGGATAGAAATATTTTTGTAGTTACTAAGACTTCTCTTATGCTATTGCATTTGTCATACCAATCATTTTTTAGGCCCTTGTTTTGCTTAGAAAACACATCAGGTTCCCACTTCTATGTTGTTATCAGCAATCAGAATGTTTTATTCATGATTTAGTTATGTGGTACATGAAAACTCATTTACAGTAATTTTTGCTTTTGGGTCTGAAACAGCAAAATATAACTAAACTTTTAGCATTTTTAGAGAGGGATCATTACCTTTTTTTGTAAGAGCAACTCCCTTTTGATCTTCCACTCAGTTTCAGCTGATCCCTCCAAAAGGAAAGCCAAAATGAAAGAGTCAGTGTAGATAAATTGCTTGGATTAGCAATTCTCTCAGTTGATTTATCAGGTAATCTTTGGTTACAACTATGTTACCTGGTGATTTTGGAGACTTAGTTGCTGCACTTCTGATTTTCAGTCGGCCTCGGACATTCTGTGAAGTTAATCCCTGCCTCGGCACCCTGCTTGATCTCCCTGTCAAAAACCAGGAACCATCTGGAATAGTTTTTGAAGAGAAAAGTCTCTGTGAGGACTGAAAATTAGAACAAAATGAAGAGGAAGTTGAGTGTGAAGTGACTGAGGTAAGAGAAGCCATTTCTGAAATCTCAATAAGGAGAAATCAGTAATCAAGCTTCAAGTACCAACTGCTCTTGTCCTTGAAGCTTCTGTTATGTTGAGAGATTTTTAGAT